CTTGTAGATCCAAGATGTTAAGCCTTTGTCAGACCTGGTGTTGGCAAATACTTTTTCCCAGTTTGTAGGCTGTCTCCCTGCTCTCTTGATGGTTTCTTTGGCTTTGCAGAAGCTTGTTAGTTTAATGAGGTCCCACTTGTCTATCTTATCTCTTATGGCCTGTGGGTTTCGGGTTTTGTTCAGGAATTGGATGCCAGTTCCAGTTTCCATGAGGGTATGTCCTTCATTTTCTAAGGTTCTTATGGTTTGAGGTTTTACATTTAGGTCTCTGATCCATTTGGAGTTAATTTTTGTGTATGGGGATAGATACGGGTCCTGTTTCAATCTTCTGCATGTGATCAGCCAGTTTTTCCAGCACCATTTACTGAATAGGTTCTCCTCTCCCCAGTGGTAGGTGGTGGAGACTTTGTCGAAGATGAGTTGGTTGAGAAATTGAGGTTTTGCTTCTGGAATCTCAATTCTATTCCATTGGTCTATATGCCTGTTCCTATACCAATACCAAGCTGTTTTGATGATTGTAGCTTTATAGTAAAGTTTGAAGTCTGGTAATGTGCTACCACCTGCTTTGTTTTTTTTTTTGCTGAGGATTGTTCTGACTATTCTTGGTCGTTTGTGTTTCCATATGAATTCCTGTGTTGTTTTTTCTAGGTCTGAGAAGAATGTTGCTGGTAATTTGATGGGTATTGCATTAAATCTGTAGATGTAGGATGGACATCTTCACAATGTTGATTCTTCCAATCCATGAGCATGGGTTATTTTTCCACTTGTTTGTGTCATCTTTGATTTCTTTGAGCAGAGTTTTGTAGTTTTCATTGTAAAGGTCTTTCACGTCTCTGGTTAGGAAGATGCCAAGGTATTTCATTTTTTTTGTGGCTATTGTGAATGGAACTGTGCTTTTTATTTGGGTTTCTGTTTATTATTGATGTAAAGAAATGTGATTGTCTTTTGCACATTTATTTTATATCCTGAGATTTTGCCAAAGGCCTTTATCAGTGTAAGGAGGTTTTTGACAGATTCTCTTGGGTTTTCAAGATATACAATCATGTCATCTGCAAAGAGAGATAACTTGACTTCCTCTTTTCCTATTAGGATACCCCTGATTGCCTTCTCTTCTTTGATTGCTCTAGCCAGGACTTCCAATACTATATTGAACAGGAGGAGTAAGAGTGGGCATCCTTGTCTTGTTTCAGTTTTCAGGGGAAATGGCTCCAATTTTGTCCATTTAGGAGTATGCTGGCTGTGGGTTTCTTGTAGATGGCTTTTACTATTTTGAGGTATGTTCCCCGTATGCCTAGATGTTCGAAGGTTTTTATCAAGAAGGGGTGCTGGATTTCATCAAAAGCTTTTTCTGCATCTAATGATATAATCATGTGGTTTTTGTTTTGACATCTGTTGATGTAATTAATTACATTTATGGTTTTACGAATGTTGAACCAGCCTTGCATCCCAGGGATGAAGCCTACTTGGTCATGATGGATAATTTTTGAGATGTGTTGTTGAATCCAGTTTGCTAGGATCTTGTTGAGAATTTTAGCATCTATGTTCATCAAAGATATTGGCCTGTAGTTCTCTTTCTTTGTTGGGTCTTTACCTGGCTTGGGTATCAATGTGATGTTAGCTTCATAAAATGACTTGGGGAGAGTTCCATCTTTCCCAATCGCCTGGAATACCTTCAGTAGGATTGGTATTAGCTCCTCCTTAAATGTCTTATTATAGAATTCTGCTGGAAAGTCATCTGGTCCAGGACTTTTTTTGTAGGTAGTTTTCTTATTACGTAGTCAATTTCCTTGATTGTTATTGGTCTATTTAGGGTCTCAATTTCTTCTTGTTTCAACCTAGGCAGGTTGTGTGATGACAGAATGTCTTCCATTTCCTTAAGGTTTTCAAGTTTGTTTCTATACAAGTGTACATAGTAGTCTCTAATGATCTTTTGTATTTCTTCAGGGTCAGATGTGATTTCACCTTTTGTGTATCTGATTGTGCTTATTTGGGTTTTTTCTCTCTTTTTCTTGGTCAGTCTAGCTAGGGGACCATTGATCTTGTTTATCCTTTTGAAGAACCAGCTTTTTGTTTCATTGATTTTTTTGTATTATCTTTTTGTCTTCTAAGTCCTGGATTTGGGCTTTTATTTTGGTGATCTGGATTCTTCTGCTGAAATTAGGGTTTTTGTGGTCTTGCTTTTCCAGCTTCCTCAGGTGGCTTGTTAGGCTGTTAATTTGTGATCCTTCCATTTTCTTCATGTGTGTTTGTAGGAATATGAATTCCCCTCTTACTACTGCTTTCATGGCATCCCAGAGATTTTGGTAAGATGTCTCTTCATTTTCATTTGTTTCCAGGTATCTTTTGATCTCTGTTTTGATTTCATCATTGACCCAGGAGTTGTTTAGCATCATGCTGTTTAGTGTCCATGTCTTTGTGGGCTTTAGGGGGACCTTGTTGGTGTTAATGTTTATTTTTATTCCACTGTGGTCTGAGAAGGTGCATGGTAAAATTTTGGTCCTTTTAAATTTGCTTATGCTTGATTTATGGCCAAGTATGTGGTCGATCTTAGAATATGTTCCATCCGGTGATGAGTAGAATGTGTATTCTGTGGTCTTTGAATGGAGTGTTCTGTAGGTATCAATTAAGTCCATTTGGTCAAGAGTCACATTGAGGTGCAGATCTCCTTGCTGATTTTTTGTCCTGATGATCTGTCTAGGGTTGTGAGTGGGGTATTAAAGTCCCAAGTTATGATGGTGTTAGAGTCAATATCTTTCTTTAGTTTTCCTAGAAGCTGCTTTATGAAAGTTGGCACTTCTATATTGGGTGCATATATGTTTAGGATAGATAATTCTTGTTGATGGAGTGAATCTTTTATCATTATTTAGTGGTCCTCTGTATCTTTTTAAATTTTTGATAGCTTAAATGGTATTTTGTCTGAAATTAGGATCGTGACTCCTCCTTTCTTTTGTGTTCCATTTGCCTGAAAATTTGTTTCCCATCCTCTTACTTTGAGTCTGTGCATGTCCTTTCTAGTGAAATGGGTCTCTTAAAGGCAGTATATTGTTGCCTGGTGGTATTTTATCCATTTTGCCATTCTCTGTCTTTTCAGTGGTGCATTTAGTCCATTCACATTCAGGCTAATTATTGAAATGTGAGAGTTTGTCCCTATCATGGAGTTCTTATAGAGTTGTTGTTATACTTGGTTTTTTATCTTTCTTTTGGTTTTGGGGTTGGTTCATCTTTATTTTATTCTTTTTCCTGTACTCTTGTGAAGAACGTTGTTCTTTTTTCCTTTACTTCTGTGTTTAGTACTTTCTTTCTTTCTTTCTTTTATTTTTGAGTTGGAGTCTCACTCTGTCACCCAGACTGGAGTGCAGTGGCCACTCCTGGCCACCATAACCTCGAACTGCTGGGCTCTGGTGATCCTTCCACCTCAGCCTTCCAAGTAGCTGGAATTACAGGCATGTGCTACCATGCCCGGCTGATTTTTTGATTTATTGTAGAGATGAGGTCTCGCTGCCCAGGTGGATCTTGAACCTGCGGGCTCAGGCAATCCACTCACCTAGTACTTTCTTAAGTGTTTCATGTAGAGGTGGTCTGGTGGCAGCGTAAGTTCTTAGGGATTGGATATCTGGGAAAGATTTTAGTTCTCCCTTGCTGATGAAGCTTAACTTGGCTGGGTAGGTTATTCTTGATTGAAATTGTTTATCTTTTAGGACTTTGGAGATAGGGTTCCAAGCTCTCCTAGTCTGCAGGGTTTCTGTAGATAAATCTGCTGCTATTCTAATTGGTCTTCCATGGTAGGTGATCTGGCCTTTTTCTCTTGCTGCCTTTAGGATTTTTTTCTTTTATGCCTACTTTGTTTAGGCAAATTATTATGTGTCTAGGAGTTGGTCTTCTCATTTGTTGTCTTGCAGGGATTCTCTGAATCTCTTGTGTTTGAATTTTTGCATCACTGATTAGATAAGGGAAGTTTTGTAGAATAATCTCATGTAAAGTTTGTTTCAGTGTGGTCTCTGTCTCTCTTTCTGCCTCAGGAAGGCCAATTACTCTTAGGTTCAGTCTCTTGAAGTAATTGCTCATCTCTTGAAGGTTTTGTTCTGTCTTTTTGAGCTTGTTTTCTGTGTTTTTAAGAGTTTGGGTTAGTTCTATATTTTGGTCCTGAAGCTCTGAGATTCTTTCTTCTGCTTGGGTAATTCTGCTTTCCATGCTTGTCAGTTTGTTATTTATTTCATTCACAGTATTCTTTATTACTGTTATTTCAGTTATCAGCTTCTTCCTAGTTTCTTCTTGTCTCTCCTCAATTCTTTTTAATCCCTCCATTAATGTCTTGATATCTAGGTTTATAGTTTGAGACCAGTCATTCTGGGGGCTCTTCATTGTTTGCATTCCAAAGTCAGTTTTTTCAGTGTCTGCCCTCCCAGGAGTCTGGGAAAGACCCATATTCTTCTTTTGGTTTTTCTTCATTTGTTTAGATTTATCTCTCCCTCCCACTTTATCTCTCCTTCTTTAATTCTGTTTTTCAGGGAAGGTGGGGTTGCTTTTGCTTCACTTGTGCAATCTCCTGTTCTTCCTTATGAGGGTCCTCTGGCTTTGTTCACATTTGAGGTTGGAGTGTGGGTTCCGGGCTGTACTTTTTGCAGTTTTGAGGTTTAATTGAGGGGGAAGCTGTGATTCAGAATCTATATGCTGATTCCAGCATCCATCAACTGGTGTATGAACCCACTGGAACCTATATCCCACTGCCTTACAATCTGTCTCTGCAGTGGTATGTAGATTTGGTCCCTTAGGAACCAAGGTGGAGGCTGCTTGTAGGTGGGCAGGGCAATGCAAATCTCTGCCTGGAGAATGGCCGAGGTGGCAGTTTCTCTTTCGCGGATACTTTCTCTCCACTTTTCTGGGTCCCTGGGTGATCCACTATGATGGACTGTGCTGGCCCGCTCTGGCCCACGTGGAGACTCTGGCGTGGTGTGCGGGGCTTGTGGCAACCCTGAGAGAGTGCTGCTTATTCTTATAACATGAATCTTTCAACCATCGGCATGATTCTAAAGGACAAGGACAAGATCATGAAACATGTGAAGTCTGCTGGGCCAATGATGTCGACAGTAATGTTGAAGAAGCGTGGGAAAGTGAAGGAGAAGATGGAGAAACTTCTCAGTGTGTGAATGCAAGATCAGCATCGGTGTCGAGTCCCACTCAGCTTAATGGTGATTGAAGCCCAGCGAAGAATCAGAGAGCACCTCTTTTAATGCCAGTCATGGCTGGTTTCATTGGTTCAAAACTCGAGACTACCTTCACAATTTAAAAGTGGAGAGGCAGTGAATGCAGAGATGGTAGCAGCCCAGGAATTTCTTTCTTTCTTTTTTTTTGAGTTGAAAGTCTCACTCTGTCGCCCAGGCTCTAGTGCAGTGGCATGTTCACGGCCACTTCAGCCTCAGCCTGCTGGGCTCAGATGATCCTTCTGCCTCAGCCTTCCAAGTAACTGGGACTATAGGCACACGCCACCATACCTGGTTAATTTTTTAAAAAAACATTTATTGTAGATATGAAATCTCACCAAGTTGTCCAGGCTGGTCTCAAACCTCTGAGCTCAGGCAATCCTCTCATCTCAGGCTTCCAAAGTGCTGGGATTATAGGCATGTGCCACCGTTCTGGCCCAGGAATTTCTTGAAATGCTTTGAGAAATTACTCATGAAGGTGCACATTCACCTGAGCAGGTTTTTAATGTGGGTGAGACAGGACTGCACTGGAAGAGGATGCCAGACTGAAGTTGCATCAGTAAGGAGGGAAAATTGATCCTAGGCTATCAAGCAGCAAAGGATGGGCTAACTCTGTTGTTTTTGGTGGTAATGCTTTCAGCAAAATGAAGCCAAAACCTCTCTTAATTTACCATCCAGAGAACCCAAGAGCCCTTAAAAATATAGTGAAGGTTTCTCTTCCTGCTGTGTGGAAGAGAAACCCCAAAGCCTGGGTTACACAGGCCATTTTCCGGGACTGGTGTTTCTACCACTTTATCCCAGAGGTAGAGAAAAATTGCTTGGAGAAGAAATCGTATTCAACATTCTTTTGCCGCTTGACAATGCTCCAGGCCAGCTCCCTATTCACAGATGACTTTCATCCCAATGTCAAAGTAGTACAGCTGCCACAGCTGTACTTTCATCCAATCTATGGACCAGGGAGTTATAGCGACTTTCAAGAAGTTATAGCGACTTTCCGTCAGGCAGTGAAGGTAAGTGACAAATCAGAAACAGTTTTGTGACTATATTTTTGGAATATAGGAAGTTGGAAAAATTTGGAATTTGGGAAGGACCATAACATCTGCAAGGCCATAAAAACATTGATTTTGGTGTGAGGTTACAGCTGTCACCATGCGTGGGGTTTGGAAAAACCTTTTCCCATGGTTTGCTCACAATTTCCTTCGATTTGAGAAGGTGGGTGAGGTGTCCAAAGAGGTCTTCAGAGACTCAGAGGCCCTCAGTGGGGGCTGGGGCTAGAATTGCAAGAGGATGACTTCACTGATCTCCTTGCTGTGTGGCACGGAGAACTTGCTACTGAGGATCCAATGGAACTGGAGGACCAGAGAAAAGAGGAAGACAAAAGGAGGAAGAAGTAACCAAAGAACCAAAGAGATTCACGATGCAGGAAATGCCAAGGGGAATTTCTTTCTTTGGGGAGGCACTGTTGGTTTTGAGGTGCAGGTCCCAAAGGTAGAACGGTCCATGAGGGTTGCAGCAGCCGTTCAGAATCAATCCAGTGCCACCGTGTCATCTATGATGAGAAAAAAAAGAGCTACTACTCAGATAACACTGAATTGTTTTTTTCAAGAAGGTAGAAAGAATTGAATCCAGCAAGGAAGCAGAACCTATGCCATCAATGTCAGGCATGAGTGACACTGCAGCTGGCCCTCTGTCTTCTGTTGCTGATGGTCCTTCAGCTCTGCCATCTCCCACCCCCTTTTCCTCCTCTGGTCAGTAACTCATCTTGCCTGTTAACTCAGTGTCAGCCCCTGGATGCCAGCTGTTGTATTGAACTGATCTACGTACTTTTCAAGGTACTGTACGGTAAGATTAAACAAGTTTTCTTTCTTTGTGAGTGTTTTTTAAATGTATTATTTGTGAGTAAAGGATTATAAACTTGTTCTGGGCAGGCATACTATATAGTTGATTGTGTTAAGTTGGGTACCTAGGCTAACTGTTGGACTTGTGAACAAATTGGACTTATGGATGTGCTCTCGAAAGGGAACTTGTTTGTAGGTAGGAGACTTGCTGGATTTTGATGTCCATTTGGGACAGTGCCAGCACGCATCTCCTAAGAATAAGGATACTCTCCAACAAAACAATATACACAGAAGAAAGAACAATTCCCTAACAACATCTGGTATCCAACTCATATTCAAATTTGTTCAACTTTTATTTCTTCCAAAAAGTATTGGTGGCTAATTTTTCAAACCAGGATCCACTGGAAGACCACACATTAGCTGCTAGGACTTTGAATCTCTTTTCATCTCTGACTTTGACTCTGTCTCACTCCACACACACACAAACATTTTCCCAGGACACTGGCTTTCTGAAGATTGTCAGTTACCTCACAGAATAAGTCATATTCTGAATTTGCCTTTTCTTTGTGGTGTCTGTCTCCTGTGTTTCATCTCACCAAAAGTTGGTTGTAAGGGCTTGAAGAGAGTCAGGTTAAGTAAGGAGTTTTGACAAGAATCCTTCTTGGGCAATTCTGAGAATTCATAGCACATTGCATCGGAGGTACATGACACATTCCCCCACGCTCAAGGATGCCAAGTTTGGTCACTTGGATGAAGGGATGATGTGTAGATTTCACTATGATGAAAGATATGCTTTTCCCCATGGTCAGCACATCATATGTGGAGTGATACTTTACAATCTTGTGAACCACAGGTTTTTAAACATTAAAGTTCATCCTCCATTGATTGGTTGCTATTCTTCTGAAAAGAAGAGCTTTGACTCATCAATTGACGTTAAAACTATCTTTAAAAAAAAAAGAGAAGGTAGAAACATAGATGTAGGAAAAATGCTTCACTATCTCTTTAGTTACATGTTGTCAGAGTAAGAATTTGGTATAATAGTCACCCCAAATATATCTTAACATTTTGGGGGCTATCACTGTGGACTCATGGATGTCTTTTTATTCAATGTTTATAATCAACTATGCCATTATTCTTTTGGATACCCAATTTGTCACAAATTTGGCCAGTGGCACCCCTTTCCAGTTGGCATCTGTGTTCTTCTGACAGACCCATCTCCTCTTTAATCTTCAGTTGTTTCTTTACTTTCCATTACATTAAGACACCTCTGATTCACCTGGTATTTTTCCCTGCCTCTGATTGGAATGAGCCAGTTCTCCATGGTGCCCTGCTTTCTGTAGAGATGGTGTTTATAAATGAAGATCTGGCTTCTCAGTGTGCTTGTGGCTGCTGGTGTGTCATTACCTCTAGGTTTCTGAGTGGACCAATTTTAAAAGTTATGAGTCAGATTGCTATCTCCAATTCAAACAACATCATAACTTCTCCTTTGATTTCATATTTGTAACTTTTCTTTTTACTGAAAAATCTTGTTTCCTAATTATATTAGCATATTTACCTATTTGCTCTATTTGACATATACATATACTAATTTATAAGCTGCATTGCCAGTATTATTGGTAAAAGTGAGATGAACTGAAGTTTAATTACGTATTTGACATTCTTTCTGTCCTCACAGTATATCCCACTAAGAATATATGGGCCTTTGTACTATTTTCAAAAGTTATTTGAAGTGATTCTTTGTGTGTGTGTGTATGACTGTGTTGTCAGTTTTACATATAATTGGATTCATGCTTCAGGTTGTTTTCATTTGAACTCTGCTCACTTTTTGATGTAATTTTGTATTTTAAATATTTAAGGGTATTTACATGGTTCAAAATTCAGAACTATATAAAGAAAGTAAGCTAAGT